CAATTCACATTTAATTACAAACATGACGAGGATTTTGTGACGTTAGTCATTGAACAAGTAGAATATAACCATTGCATTTCACCATCACTTGCCCTATTCAGTACGGTGGCTTTACCACCACAACTTTTAATATAACTGACACCCGCTACATTATTTGCGTTGAACAAAGTCACTGCCAAGTAGGCCTGGCAATTTCTGACACGACCCGATAACCCGACACGACACGACACGAAATTAACAGGTGTTTGGGTCGACACGATAACGAAACGGGTCGTTATCGGGTAACCCGATAAGCACCTGTTAAGATAACGGGTTGGTTCGGGTATACACGTGGGTAACACGATACACAATAAACAGAATATTATTTTTATAATTTTATAACCCTAAAAAAATACTATAATAATTATATACATTAATTTTACAATTTTATACCCCTAAAAATTATAATATATATATATATTAAATTAACTATAAAATTTATAATAATTATAATAATTATATATACTATAATAATTATACCCCCAAAATATTAAGTCTATCTATAATAATTATATATATATTAAATTTTATAAAAACTATAATAATTATTAATTAATAATTTAATATGCATGATGCATTGCATGATTTTGCATCCATTGAAATTTGATGTGATTTCTTTCCATTCAAATTTCAATAATCAATTTCTTGCCGTTGCCAACTTGCCGCCCTTTTTGAAAAAAAAAATGGAGGGAAAATGAAAATGTTAAGAAAAGTTGAAAATGAAACAAAAAAGTGAGGGAATTAGGGAAAGATGTTGGAGGGAAAAGTGAAAATGATAAGAAAAAGTTGAAAAGGAAACAAAAAAGAGAGGGAAAAATGAAAATTAATAGAAGTGGTGAGAATTTTTTTTTTTTTTTTTTTTTTTAAGTTATTAACTTTTTATCACACACATGACTGTCATGACATATCTCACTATTTTTATAATGACACACGTGACACGTGATGTATGTACTATTCTGTGTACCAGTCAATTATAATTTATACGTACAAAATAAATAGATTTAAATCTACTTAATAAAAATATATATACACACACACACACACACACACACACACACACAGGGAACTTGATTGATGGCATACGAATTCTCCAAAACTAATTTCAACGATCCAAACCGTCAAAATTGTTTGTATATGCTTGGAGATCACATCAGCAAAAAATCACAAAAAAAAAACATTCAGAGATCAAGTAACAGGACAAAGCTTTTCAACAGTTATAAACGAAAAATCACGATTTAACGGTTATTTTAACTCCGATTTTGATGATTTTTTATAACTACACTCCTTGACCCTATATGAATACAATGAATGAATTCGATCTTCAATTTAAAATATTTACACAAGTGGATACCACAAAATCTTATGTTATACTTAATAAAAGTATAAATAAACTCTAAGTGTTAGTCAATCTATCGTTTTACGAATTCTCCAAAACTAATTTCAACGATCCAAACCATCAAAATTGTTTGCATATGCTTGGAGATCACATCAGCAAAAAATCACAAAAAAAAAACATTCAAAGATCAAGTAACGGGACAAAGCTTTTCAACGGTTATAAACGAAAAATCACGATTTAACAGTTATTTTAACTCCGATTTTGATGATTTTTTATAACTACACTCCTTGACCCTATATGAATACAATGAATGAATTCGATCTTCAATTTAAAATATTTACACAAGTGGATACCACAAAATCTTATGTTATACTTAATAAAAGTATAAATAAACTCTAAGTGTTAGTCAATCTATCGTTTTACGAATTCTCCAAAACTAATTTCAACGATCCAAACCGTCAAAATTGTTTGTATATGCTTGGAGATCACATCAGCAAAAAATCACAAAAAAAAAAAACATTCAGAGATCAAGTAACGGGACAAAGCTTTTCAACGGTTATAAACGAAAAATCACGATTTAACGGTTATTTTAACTCCGATTTTGATGATTTTTTATAACTACACTCCTTGACCCTATATGAATACAATGAATGAATTCGATCTTCAATTTAAAATATTTACACAAGTGGATACCACAAAATCTTATGTTATACTTAATAAAAGTATAAATAAACTCTAAGTGTTAGTCAATCTATCGTTTTACGAATTCTCCAAAACTAATTTCAACGATCCAAACCGTCAAAATTGTTTGTATATGCTTGGAGATCACATCAGCAAAAAATCACAAAAAAAAAACATTCAAAGATCAAGTAACGGGACAAAGCTTTTCAACGGTTATAAACGAAAAATCACGATTTAACGGTTATTTTAACTCCGATTTTGATGATTTTTTATAACTACACTCCTTGATCCTATATGAATACAATGAATGAATTCGATCTTCAATTTAAAATATTTACACAAGTGGATACCACAAAATCTTATGTTATACTTAATAAAAGTATAAATAAACTCTAAGTGTTAGTCAATCTATCGTTTTACGAATTCTCCAAAACTAATTTCAACGATCCAAACCGTCAAAATTGTTTGTATATGCTTGGAGATCACATCAGCAAAAAATCACAAAAAAAAAACATTCAGAGATCAAGTAACGGGACAAAGCTTTTCAACGGTTATAAACGAAAAATCACGATTTAACGGTTATTTTAACTCCGATTTTGATGATTTTTTATAACTACACTCCTTGACCCTATATGAATACAATGAATGAATTCGATCTTCAATTTAAAATATTTACACAAGTGGATACCACAAAATCTTATGTTATACTTAATGAAAGTATAAATAAACTCTAAGTGTTAGTCAATCTATCGTTTTACGAATTCTCCAAAACTAATTTCAACGATCCAAACCGTCAAAATTGTTTGTATATGCTTGGAGATCACATCAGCAAAAAATCACAAAAAAAAACATTCAGAGATCAAGTAACCGGATAAAGCTTTTCGACGGTTATAAACGAAAAATCAAGATTTAACGGTTATTTTAACTCTGATTTTGATGAATTTTTACAGCTACACTCCTTGACCCTATATGAATACAAAGAATGAATTTGATCTTCAATTTAAAATATTTACACTAGTGGATGTGGATATCACAAAATCTTATGTTATAATTTATATACTTAATAAAAGTATGAATCAACTATAATATTAATAATTATATACATTAATTTAATAATTTTATATCCCTAAAAAGTAAAAACTATAATAATTATATAGATGTAGGTGTAAATTGAATACAATTTCATGATGATCGATGTAAATTGAAGATTTTGTAAATGGAGGTGTAAACTTTTGAGAAAGACTTACAATCTTAAAAACAAAAACTCTTTATCCTTGCACATTTAATATTTGTAATATATTAGTAGTGTATGTATTATTTTTTTTATTAGGCTTTTATTTTCGAGTGTAGATATAGTACTTGAACGAGAAATGTTTTAATGTTTTGAAGTAATATTTATGTGGCAATGTGTGGTATGTGCAAATTTAAAAAAAATATATTTTTTTCTTAACGGGTCATAATGAATCATAACGGGTCGGGTCACTTTACCCGTTGGGTAAAGTGACACGACCTGTTAAGGACCCGTTAAGATAACGGGTGTGACACGACACGACCCGTTAAGATAACAGGTGTTGCACGAAAACGACACGAACACGATAGACACGACCCGTTTGCCAGGCCTACTGCCAAGCTGGGCAAAAGACTAAAATCAAAATCGATGCCCCCGAACTAGAAAGTTCAATACTTGCTAGTCCAAGCCCTTCTCCTTCTCCATCATTGTCAAATAATTTGGTCACAAGTCTAAGCCGTTTACATATCTATCCTCGCCATCAGGTTCTCCGTGAAGCAAAGTCACCAAGCTCAACTCAAGGACCGCTCCAATTCTTAATTTTTTTAATTCTTCGGTCAGCTGCCACCGGTCTTGTTATTTTAGTGTGTGTGGTTTTGTATTTTATATACGTCGTTGTTTAAATGAATCTCAAATACAGACCGAAAAGAACTGTCTGGTCGTATAAATGTATTTTTATTGTAGACCAAATTTTAAAAGTTTTCAATGAATTTGTACTTATTGTTGAGGTTTAGTTCCGGGATATATATATATATATATATATATATATATTTTAACCAATCTGTCTGTTCAATCTCATCATGATAGTATGATACTACAAATCTCTAACAAATTATTACACAAATTAAGCAAATTATTGAAATGTCTCACATCGACTGTATCAATGACAAAAGAGGAGTTTAAATACCATAATCTCACTCCAACTAATACCGATGTTTTTTGTGATAAAACCCTACACTTGACAGATTGTGCAAGTGATAATTACCAAGTTGGGGACAATATCAGTGTTGTTGGAAGTGAACAGTATGACCTGTTTCTCTGATAATTTTACATGGTATCAAAGCCAGGGAGTGGGCCTGTACTGTAATGCCACGTGATGGGTGGGTCTCCTTGGCCTCTCGCAATGATGGTGGGTCACTTGGCCCCGTATGTAGGGTGAGTCCTCTTGGCTCTACGTGGTTGTCGATCTGTGGATTTTCCACATGTGATCCACTAATTGGGTCTCATGTGAGGGAGGCATATTGAGATGTCCCACATCTACCGTATCAATGACAAAAGAAGAGTTTAAATACCATAATCTCACTCCAACTAATACTGAGACCTTTTGTGATAAAACCTCACACCTAAGGCCTTTTGTGATAAAACCTGACACCTGACGGATTGTGCAGGTGGTAATTACCAAGTTGGGGACAATATCGATATTGTTGAAAGTGGATAGCATGACCCGTCTTCTTGATAATTCTGCACAAATTACACAAGAAAACAATATAGCTTAACTTTTTTTTTCATCACCTTGTAAAAACCTCTAAGTCTAACAATCAGAAAATGACAACCATAAGCACCAAATAAACATTTGAATTTTAACCATAAAAAAAGAAACAATCGTGCACAAAACAAGAGATCACCCTGCTTAAATGTTTAATCTCTTTTGAGTAGTACTATTTATTTTTTATTTTTTATTTTTTATTTTAGAGAATAATAAAAAATTAGGTGAGTCAAGCTAAGTATAAGGCTTGAACTACAACAATAAAAACCTTATTCTCTAAATCCGCAAGCGAAAAGAAAGAATCAAGACCCAGGATTGGTCCCTCCAATTCCTTTTTTTTTTTTTTTTTTTTTCTCTTTTTCTTTTTCCTTTTGTTTAGTTGGAATTGATCTTTGGCGTACAACCCAAATAATTTGGATTCCTCCTCCATTTTTTTAAAGTTTTTGGTACCTGGCGTAGTGTTTGGGAAAAGAGACTTGTACTGCTGACGATTAGAAATTTGTATATAAAAGCACTGGTAAGCTAACCTTGTCAGCACAAACATTTTATTTTAATTATTTTCTTGCTTTTTCTGTATTGTTGCTATAAGCTTAGGATTTTGTTTGCTTTCTTGAAGCACGTCCATGTCTACTCCCAATTCCTCTGAAAATCCCAATGAAATCTTGTCCCTCGAGAGAATCAGAGAAACCATCATTCCCTCTCTCCTTGCCGAATTCTCCTGGGCCATAGTCTATCTCTCCGCCAGCCACTCTGAAATGGCCAATCAATTTGAAAAATTACCCAAAGACCTCACTTACATCCAGCATGCATTTACAGGACTCAAGAACTTTGAGGAAAGCGCAAGTAATCTTTTCAAGATCCTCCAACAGGCTCAACACAGCCTCCGCCACCTATTGTATCAGCAGTCAACGCGATCCCACATCCTTGACTCACAAGCTAAGCAATTTCAGCCCAAACTGCAGGTGCTCAACGAGACCATCATCAAGCTGAAACTCCTACTTCCATCCCCACATAAACTTTTGTTGAGTAAGGAAAAGTCTTTGTTGTCTACTGGCATTGAGTCCCATCATCCCAACAAAGTGCTTGACAAATTGTCTGGCTTACACTTCAGTAAGGTGTTTGAAGAAAGCCCGGCTTATAAAGAATTTCAGGTTGTTTATAACAGTCTTCGTGTTACTACGAAGCTCTGTTTGTTGTGTTTTGCCGTGTTTCCTGTGAATGAGGTTGTAAAGAAGAGGGTTTTGATACAATGGTGGGTTGGAGAAGGGTTTGTGAATCCTCCGGTTGGTGGCAAAGAGACGGTTCTGGAAATTGCTGATGGTATATTTGAAGAATTAACAAAGAAGGGCTGCGTTGAACCTGTTAATAAGAAACGGAGACCTTCCGTGGTGCATGGTTTTAAAATGAATCCTATTATTCGTTCTGCGGTGATTGTTATTGCCAAAGAAGTGGGATTCTTTGGTTTTGACAATAAGGGGAACCCCACAACCGAATTTTCATGGTCTCGACGTGCGTGTTTGGTGAATGGTTCTCAGCATCTGATGCAGGTAAGAGCTCATGGCGATCCAGAAAACCTGCAGACGATATTCAATGTTAATGAGTCCTATCCAGATTTTTCCAAAGTGGAGTGGTCCAAGTTGAGGAATGTGAATGTTCTTTATCTTGGAAGGTGGCACAACAGAGCTAAGCATCACATTGAAGTAGATGACACTGAATTCTTCCACGGATTGCAGTATATGGTAAAGTTGATATTCTTCAGTCTACGAGGTATATCGAGGATCATGGAGCTTCCTGATTCTGTATGCAAGCTTGTTAGTTTGAGGATCTTGGATCTCAGTGCCTGTCACAACTTAGAGGTACTTCCGGAAAGAATAGGCTTGCTTAAGAATCTCACACACTTGGATATGTCCGAGTGTCACTTGCTAGAGCGTATGCCTAAGGGGATTGCCTTGCTCTCAGAACTTCAAGTTCTTAAAGGATTCATAATTCGCGAATATCATAAGAATGATACTCCATGTACTCTTCAGGATTTGTCAGCATTGCAGAAGTTGAGGAAATTGACAATCAGCACTAGCAGGGAAGATTTTCCCAGCAAACAAGAGCTAATTGATTTCCAACATCTTAAATCACTTCGAAAGCTGACAATAGTGTGGGGAGGGTTATCCATCCAAGCCAATGCTGCACCAGAGCTGGGAGAACCAACTGGGACCAAAACTCATATTCAGGAAAATCGAGAATATTTTGAGGAACTTGAGAAGATGGACCTTCAGTGCTATCCTAGGATGACAGCACCTAGCTGGTTGGTGCCCGGTAGGCCTAAGAGCCTAAAAAAGCTCTACGTTAGAGGAGGGCCGCTTCGAAATCTAGGTCATGCGGAGGAGAATGACAAGTGGACAGTTGAGATATTACGTCTGAAGTTCTTGAGTGAATTAAAGATGGACTGGAATAAACTGCAGATGTCATTTCCACATTTAACATATGTGGAGAAATTTAGATGCCCTAGGCTCACTTTCGTCCCATGTGATGAGAGTGGAGTTTGGCTGAAACCGCGAAATGGAACAAATGAAATCATCTCGGCGTGAGTGTGATGCATTCAAACAGTTAAACTGAAGGTTCACTAGATTGATTGAAGTATATCGTCAATTTTTTCCCCCTAATGCTATGCTCTCTTTTTGCCTTTTTCTTTGGAAAGTGAATTTAGTTCTGTTTATTGAAATTTAATGTTGCTCCAAAGTTGAATGTGGATTGTATTCAAGCTATTGAGAAATTACCTCTGTGTAAATATTGTCATGGGAATCTATAAAACTATAGACACTTTGATGCTTACTCGTCTCTGCAAAGACGATTCATGTCAATTCGAGTTTACAAATATGCACTAGAAAGAGTGGACAATGTTTCAAACTTCTTTGGACTTCCATATTTGTAGTCCAACTTAATAAGAAACTGGAACCAGGGTTTCTGCTTTGATCCGCGCAGAAGAATGATTGAAGTAAAACTAATTGGATGTAAGAAAGGAGGGATGGAACCAGGGTTTCTGCTTTTTTCAGTTACTGTTGTTGTTTCCTACATATTCATGTTCTCGTGCATAACTTGGCATCTTTGTTTTTCTTCTGCAGAGTTGTTGCGATCAGCAAAGAAGGGATTTGCAGATCTAATTTTAGCAGCTCTTACGATTCGATAGTGCTGTCAACTTCTTCTGGCATTGTGGAACAGGAATAAAGCGAGGAATTACTTGGCAATGCAGACAAGTGAGTGACGAGGCTGCCAAAGGTGCTTATAGAATCTTGCCAAACAAAAGCCAAAGGTGATTTACCTGTACAATTATTTAGATGATGCCTTCCTTTTCATACCGCTGTTATCATCTACGTTACGGACACGGATATGACGACACGCGACTCGTTGACACAACAAATCTCAAAAAATAGAACACGAACACGACTAAGGGTATGGCAATAAAATGTAATAAAATTATAATAAATGTTACATATATTAAAAATAATACTTCAAATTTATAATTAAACATGAATGTATAAAAATCTGTAATAAATAAAGATTCCTGTGATAAAGCCTCTAAATGAAATATGCTTACCTCTATGTTTAATTAAGCATATACCCTCCATGGAGAGAGAAACAAATAAACGGAACAAAAAAATAATAACATCATTTATATTTATCTTTACTAATCTTTACTAATTAATAAAACATTCATTATCAACCAAAAATTTATGAAATTACCATTTTAACCCTCTAATTAATACAGAACATGAATAAGAAATATGGGACAGAAATGTAATTTCACACAACCAAATTTTGCTATTTTTTTTTTCAAAACCTTACCTACATGTAATCCTAATATATCTCTAATTGTAAAAAAAAAAATAAAAAAATAAACTTCCTACTTCCATGTTCTCTATCACTCTCTTCCTCTCTCCTATTTCAAAAACAAAAATAAATTTTTTTTAATGAAAAATCAGCCTTTTATCTTTTTTGCCAAACATATGTTGTTCTGCTATCCAAATCAGCCCACACATAACCAATTAGGCTTTATCCTTTTTGCCAAACATATTTTGTTCTGCTATCCAAACCCATGTCTTCTCCCTCACTGAATTTCCTTTCATCCCATTATCCCCAGCAACCATCCTCTCCACCAACACCAAGTCTAACCCACCCATATTCAGCCCATCCACCCTCCAACCGGTGTCCACCCCGCAGTGAGAATGCCCCAAATGTTTCAATAATTCAAAAACTGCCTCAAAATATTTTTCAACCCGTGTTGGCGGCGTATCTGAGGCGTGTCCAACCCGTTGACCGGTGTCTTGACCGTATCTAACTCATGTAGGGGGTGTGTCAGCATGCCAAAGTGTCTGACACTCCAACACTTCGGGATTTTGGAGTGTCCGTGCAACCTAGGTTATCATCCTCCACTCGAACGTGTACCACTATGAATGTGACTTTCTTGGAGTTCGAGATGTATTATTCTTCATCTTCCTCCAACTCTTCTATTCAAGGGGAGACAACAAGTGAAGAGAAGAATTGGCCATCACATCCAGCAGCATCCACGACACTTCCAGCAACACCCATGACACTGCCAGTTGCAGAAGCCCGGCAACTTGAAACGACTGCAGACAGTGCAGTCCCTATTGTGAATCAAGATGTTGAAACTTCTTCCCCCCTCTCGTCTCCAAATATACTATCAATGGATGATCATACTCCTAAGAATATTCCTGAGGTAAGTCTCACTTCCCCTATTAATGTATCGAACAGTTCGAATTATCAATTACCTTATAGGTACAACCGAGGAAAACCACCTAACTGATACTCTCGGGATAAAGAAAAAGGGTCCAAATATCCCATTCCCAACTATGTGTTATCACATAAATTGTCGGAACCAGAAGAAAACTTTTATACAACAAATATTAGCGGATAGTGTTCCGAGCTCCGTGAAAGAAGCACTAACCGACATTAGGTGGACTAAGGCAATGGAAGGAGAGATGAGTGCACTTTAAGACCAAACTTGGGATTTAGTCCTATTGCCAAGAGGAAAAGAGAGAGTAGAGTGTAAGTAGGTGTATACGATGAAGTACAAAGCTTACAAGGTACGATTGGTCGCCAATGGTTATACTCAAACCTATGACATGACTATATAGAGACATTGGCCCGAGTAGCAAATATCAATACAATAAGGGTATTGCTTTCGTTGGCAGCAAACCTAAATTGGCCTTTACAACAATTTGATGTGAAGAACGCCTTCCTACATGAGAATCTTAAAGATGAGGTATATATGGATATTCCATGGGGTATTCATCACTTTCACAATTAGGAGTAGTATGTAAATTGAACAAGCCCTTGTATGGTCTAAAGTAATCATCTCGAGCGTGGTTTGGGAGATTTTGAATGGCCATGAGAAAATATGGGTTCAGGTAGAGCAACTCCGACCATACGATCTTTATAGAACATTAAATGGATAAGTTAACGACATTCATTATATATGTGGATGATATGATTGTTGTTGGTGCACAAAATTAGATTGACTTTGGAACAATGTAAAGTGTCAAAATGTGACTTTCGTAAGGTTGCTTCAGTCACCAAGTCTTAAATAATATGTAAAGACACAGAGATAGGAAGTAAACACAAGATGTACGTGGTTCACCCTAAGGTGGGCTACATCCATGAGGATAGATGAGTTCTCAATAATAATGTAGAGTTTACATGATACAAAGGTTACACATAATCATATTACTAAGTTCTAATAATTGGTTAAGTAGAATACCATCATTATAAATTAATTGTAGGAGAATGGTCTTGTTTTATAATTGTGGAGAGTCACACGCTTTCGTCTGCGGTTGGTGTGGGACTCTGGGACTTTAGGAGCTTTATTCTAATGTTAACACGTGTCGTGTTGTGATCAACCTCTTAGTTGGAGAGAAACTCTTAGTGCTTCAACAGATGTACCTCATCACAAATCCTTCCACCACTTGAGTCTCCATAGGTATAAAGTTGACTGGTGCTCAGTAGTTTTGGAATTGGTGAAGTATAGTACAAACAATTGTCACAGGTGATTATTAGAAAGAAATCTCGAAGTTGAAGGATTACTTGGCAACTGAGTTCGAAATGAAAGATCTTGGTGGACTTAAGTATTTTTTTGGTATTGAAGTGGCGAAATTGGGCATATTTATATCTCAAAAGAAATATGTTCTAGATTTGTTGACAGAAACAGGGATGCTCAATTGTAAACCTATTGATAATCCTATCATTCAAAACCATCACATTGCTATGTATCTTGATCAAAGTCCAAGCAATAAAGACTGTTATCAGAGGTTGGTTAGATAATTAATTTACTTATTCCATACTAGACCAAACATTCTTATGCAATGAGTGTTGGCAGCCAGTTTATGCACCCTCCAGGGTAGAGGCATCATGTTATCTAAGAATGGACACTTTAAAGTGGATGGTTATACTGATGCGAATTAGGGCAGGAAATATTATTGATAGGCAATCTACTTCAGGGTACTTTACGTTTGTGGAAAGCAGTTTAGTGACTTGCTGCCAGTAGGAAGCAAAAGGGGCTTTGTCAAGTGCAGAAGCAGAATATAGAGGTATGGCAAAAGAAGTATGTGAGTTACTGTGACTCCAGCGGTTACTTAAAGAACTTAGGTATCCACCAATGTCTGCATCAAATTTGTTTTGTGATAACAAAGCTGCCATTGATATTTCTCATAATCCAATTCAACACAATTGGATTAAAATGTTGAAGTGGATAGACATTTTATTAAGAAGTTAATTAGATGAGAATGTTATTCAATTTCTATTTGTGAAATTCGAAGATCAGCTGGCAGATATTTTAATAAAAGCAGTTGCATGTCAAGCGTTCTACAACTCACTCGACAAGTTGAGCATCAACAACATTTATGCACCAACTTGAGAGGGAGTGTTGGCATGAGTTGGTGATTGAGTTCACTACATGTGTAATTAGCGGGATTTGTTACCCGTTTGATTTCTTGTAATCAGGATAGGTTTTATTACTTATTCTTGCCTTGTAAGTCAAAGGTGTATTATAAATGTTTGCCTCCTTTGTGACAAGAATACAATCAGCAGAATTAAACCCAAAATTAACAGGAGGGTTTCTTTGTATATTTGGGAGAAAAATTAATCATCTCCAAGAAAAACGAGTTGTCCTTGACATTCTCTTTGTTGTTTTCCTGTGCTAAACTTGTTCTTGATGTTGATATGCCAAAGTATTTAGCAGCATAAAAAATAAATTAAGTGCAGCAAAATGCCCTTTATCAAGCATTGGACTGTGTGTGCCGGCCAAATACTGCTAAAAACAGTCCAATCGGTGTAGGAATCCTACTAATTGCAGCCAATGTTTTCAGAAATTAGGAGCTCCAGTTGCGGATATTTCAAGAAATTGTTGAGACCCCCAAGAACTTAAATTCATTGCAGAGAAAAACACTTTTTCAAGAAGCAAAAGCAGTGGCAATAATGGAAAATCAGAAGCTGAAGTTTCATCAGCCATGAACATCCATTGGAGCGTACCAATGATTCACCTTCCAAACAGAACAAAATCTGTGCAGGGTGCAAGCTCATGATACAGTCCGGTAAGAACTACTACAGCTGCCCAAGCTGCCCATTTTTCTTGCACCAAGTATGCTACAACATGCCCCGGAAAACGCGTCATCCGGCTTATCCAAGCCACTACTTGAACGTCCATCCAGCTCCTCCTTCAAGCACCAAAGGGGCCTTGAATTATCAGGCTTGTGGAGATCCCGTCGAGGGGTTTTACTATGAATGTGCCGAT